GCAACCAGACCCTTATTGTTCCTAAGACGTACAAGTGTTCAGTGGCAGCTGTCGCAACACCGACTCCATTCAACCAGACAGAAACTGATTTGCATTGCCATGATCAGCATTACAGGGAGAAATCAATTTCCAACATTGCCATCATTGCCATTGAAGTCTTTATTATGATTCTATGCATAATCGAGTTTATTCAAGTGAGAAGATTAACTCCGCCGGATCTTTTAATCAAGTTGCTGAGAGAAATCTTCGAGGACGAAAGCAACCCACTTGTAGGTGAGCATGAAAACTTTCAAAGTTACATAATTATCCTTTATATCAATTGACATTTAAAAGCGGTTTTCACTTGAGTTTCCAAAAGTAACTGTTCTTGCATTATGCCGCCTGGAGCGATTTCAAACTGTGTGTCGTTAAACTAAAATCAAAGTAATCACTCCATCGAATCACAAAGGACACAGACAATATACGGAACCAATCAAAACTCGAAGTCATTACATGTAGGTGACGCAAATTTTACGCTAAACACGATTGGATGAAAAAGGGGCGCGAGTTTTTAAGCCAACCGTGAAGCGTAGCTGATGCAATACAAATTACTTTTCGACACCCAAATAAAAACCAATCTAGAAGTAAAACAAGTAAAACCAAAACCACTTGACTCTTTCGTACACGTTTTCCCGCGCTTCGCATCAGCTACGTGTATCTGTTTCAAGTTTTGATTGGTTCATTAGATTGCCTGTGTCCTTTGTGATTGGTTAGAGTGATTACGTTGGCTTTGTTCTAAATCTTGATATAAGTACTGGAACTGGTCACTAATCAAACTTAAAAGAACTCAATCAAAATTAACCAAACGATTGGGCTTGATTGAGTTCGGTCATGAACAAATTTGAACGAAATAAAATTGAACAACTACTCTCACCAAACAAGAACAAAAAAGAATGAAGAGAAACGAACACTAGATACAATAATGGGACAAAATTAATAGTGGTCGAGTGACATTTAGCATTCAGGTGAAAATGCAAGGATTCTGTTCAATGGCTTTGTTAAAACCTGGATCCAAAGCCGCAAAAACAGATCGACCGTTTGCCGGAAATTTTCATTTATTTGTTGTTTAAACTGTCCCCAAGTCGGAAGAAGACAAAGTCAAGCCAGACGATAAGACTAAAAACTTCCAAAGCTTTAACCTGATTAGGCTTTATAGAAGAAAACGGTAAATTCATTAGGAAATCAATCACCATCAATCCTAACAGCAGGTTGTGCCGACTGTCTACCACGTGACCCATCCTTCCCGTTTTTGTTAAGGTAGGATTACTACACTTACTCGTTTCTTGATACATTGAAGTCCAGACGACCTTACACGGTATAATTCCAGTAAAACTCGACAGGAATACGTGCGTTCACTGAAAATTGCTGACACTTTTTAAAGGATGGATAGCTAACGACCTATATTGTGTTTACTGAACGAATTACTTACGATTAATTAGAACATATGCCAATCACATATCTTTTGGTTTTTGCGTTACGTGCAGACTTGATGTCTTGGTTTCTTACATGTATACCGAACAATAACTCAACATATTAAATGTTAAATATAAAAATGTGACACAGTGGTTGAGAAAAGCTATTCAAAGTCTTTAAAATCCCAACGTCTCGGCTATTAGGACAGTTTTGGCTCTACCGACCGCAAAATTTTCGAAATAAACGGAACGTCTTGAAAGGTAGTCCAAAATTTCCAAATGAATTATCCGAGTGGAAATGTGCTTACCAATTGTAATTCTTTGCCGCCATCTTGGAATTTAGATCACATTGAACTCGTCTCTGTCTTTTTCGGTAAATTGGAGCTGTTGAGTAAATGCTGAATCGAAATAACCAATCCAAACGGAACTTGCAATCAGGCAATTTTGCTTACCAATTACACTAAACGTTGACGAACCGGTTCCGACAGAGTTGAAAGTGACATTTAGCATCCAGGTCAAAATGCAAGGATTCTGTTAAATGGCTTTATTTAAGCCCGCATTTAAAGTTGCTAACAACCGATCAACCGTTGAAAGAAATTTATTTTGTTGTTTAAACAGTTGTACCTGTCACCTCCCCGGTCGAACCAGAAACAGAAGGTAAGACTGAGATCTTGCAAAGTTACATAATTATGCATTATTTTATAACTTGGTTGTGTAATAATTATTTATTTCGACATTTACTTACTTACTTATTTACTTACTTAATTATTTGTTTACTTGTTTGTTTGTTTCTTTATTTCCTTATTTTCTTATTTCTTAATTTCTTAATTTCTTTATTTCTTCATTGTTTTCCTTCCCTTCTTTCTTTCTTTCTCTCTTTCTCTCTTTCATTCTTTCTTTCTTCTTTTTTTTCTTTCTCTCTTTCTTTATTCCTTTATTCCTTTATTTCTTCATTTCTTTATTCCTTTATTTCTTCATTTCTTCATTTTTTCATTTCTTCATTTCTTCATTTCTTCATTTTTTCATTTCTTCATTTCTTCATTTTTTCATTTCTTCATTTCTTCATTTCTTCATTTCTTCATTTCTTCATTTCTTCATTTCTTCATTTTTTCATTTTTTTATTATATCAGATATACAACACCTCGTCGTCCGCAGAAGGCAATCCCTCCTCGACCGTCCGCCACCCTCTCCTGACAGCGTCCCTAGGGGCGAAGAGCTTTGGGGCGCTTTAAAAAGAGTTCCAGTCGACAAGGAACGAGTAAAGTCGCTTCTCGAGGCATGTGCGCCAGTGGATTTCCGAGAACCAGGCAGTCAGGTAAGTTATAAAAAAGTGAGAAAACTGTATTGAACATTACTTCAGCAATGATGTAGAGATAAGAACTGCGTGAATACTATGTGAGAATTAACGTGTAGGTTATGAGATATGAGCAAATGTTTAATTCGCTAGTTGGCATATATATATATATATATATATATATATATATATATTCAAGAAGCGTGCCTCCCTTTGAAATCAAGTCGAGAACCAAGCGGCAGATTATAGGACTATGTAACGAAACAAAGTCAGTTTTAGTAGAATACGCTACTTTTTTGTCTCTTGGGCGCTTTTGGTTACTCTCCTTCGCAGTTTACAGTGTGCGTACTCTACAAACACAGCCTAGTTTCCGGAAAAATTCCCTGGTCTTCTGTTGTTAGCCACTTCGCTTCCCAGCAGGTACTCCCTTACATGGGCTATATAGGTATGTGCAGCCCCAAAGAGTAGGGATGTCAGCCGTTTTAGTCATAAATAGGGTATCGATTTTGGCGATTTTGGTCATAAATAGCAACTTTTTCAGGCCATATGGTAGGGAAAATCGCAGATTTTGGTCATAAATAAGATAAGGGTTTTGGGAAGCAGGCCGCACTCACCCACCCAATTTTTCTTGGAATACCCCCCCCCCCTCCTTCCCAGGCTTCGCTTTAACCCGAAAATAAACGAAGCTTCAAACAGAGAGTAATTTTCATTTAAAACTCTAAGATTCTCGTTCAAAAGTGTTTTCTCAATTAAATATACAGCCCCTCAGTTTCAGAAATTTTTGAAATTTTTCGTGCAAACCGCTAATGATTCGGGCAAAACTACACGGGAGAAAACACTGTCAAGGCCAGGCTTGCAGGCTTTTTTCTCTGACGTTTGCCTTGGCAAAGGGGAGTTAAGGTCAAATGCTATAAAGATCCAGTGATTCTGTTTTGGAAAAGCCATTTATCGTTTAAATGTGTACGTATCGTAGAAATCCACGACATGGATATTATTTCCATCAACAAAACAATGACAAAAGAATCAAAGCAAACGAAGAACAAGACTTTTGCAATTAGCGTAGAACTTTCAACAAATTATTTGGGTGCGCTATCTTTATTCATTTGCTTTCATTTGTTTCCTTCATTCTTTAGTTTTTGTTTTTGATATGTGAGCTAATAATTACTGGACGTATATAGGAAAAATAAATAATCAAGATGATTTGACATGTTTTGTTTCAATGCAGACGGGTAGAACGCCCCTCCATTTTGTAGTGTCCGAAAAGAATGGAGATGACGAACTCATAGCAATGCTGTTAACATATGGAGCAGAAACAAACCTGGTTGACTCTGTATGTTATTTTTCCCTTTCTTGTTGATAAAATGAAAAATAAATAAAGATGATGATGATGATGATGATGATGATGATGATGAAAGCAGTTAAGTTATTAAAACAACAACAACAACAAAACAGTTAAGATATAACATCTACCTAGTCGATAAAAGTGCCGTTTTTTGTCACTGACTTGTATATTTTAGCTAACTTGTATATTTTAGGTAGAATATACAAGTGAGTGACAAAAAACGGCACTTTTATTGACTATGTCATCTCCTGACTACACTTACTCAATTCTTGAATAAAATATACCTCCCTTCTTCTAATTTCCTTTCTCTCCCTCCTTGCTTGCTTGCTTGCTTGCTTCCTTCCTCACTCCCTACCTTTCCTACTTCCTCCCTCCCTCCTTTCTTCTTTCTTTCATCTTTGTGTTTTTCCTTTTGTCCTCAACCTACTTCCTCTTTACTTCCCACTCACCTTCTCTTAGTTTTCCTTCCTCAATCCATTGGGTTTACTACTTCTTACTCAGTCACTCCACCACTTATTAAATGTTTGGTCACTACACTAACTTTTTAGTTCATTTCCCTAACTCATTGTCATTTTTCTGTTGACCTTCACAGTTTGATCTAACGCCACTCCATCTGGCAGTCGAGAAAGGAAATTTGAGGGCTGTGCAAAGATTGGTAATTAATGGAGCTGATTGCAACAAACGAAATCGAGTAAGACCTCGTTGTTGTTCTATGTGACATTAGGCCACCAGATACAGTATTTTTGATTCACGGATGGAAAATGATGGTAACAATTTTACTATACTTAATATTGTCGCGGAGAGACTTCCACTAAATGCAGCTATTTGAATCACGGTGAAAGTTGCATGAATTCCAGTCATATAGTCATATATTTGTACAATGATCTCTTATTGGCCTGAAAATATTGTATTCATGTTTCAAAGCCTTAAACCGTTTCGTTTCAAACTTGATCCTTTAAAAACAAATTTCAATATTTTTGGGACCATGATGTCAGTTTTCAAATTGGGTTATTTTCTTAACTTAGGATGTGGGCAATGACGTCAGACCACCATGGCGGTAGTTCAAATAATAGTTCGCTAGATTAATTGAGATAGGGCCTCGTTATGTCTCTTAAGTTAAATACAAATGCAGGTTTTCTGCAAAAGAACCCAAAGTTTCATTCTATGGCTATACCGTAAAATTCCGGTTCCCTTATATCAAACACGGAAGACCATATTTAATCATATAGCCACCAAGAAGAGAATTGAAAATACGACGAGTAGGAAAGTAGTTTTGAGGAGCGTTGAGGTGTTTGGAAGTGTGGTAAAACACGGTCGTGAGTTGCTTTACACATCTTCTCGATCGAGAAGATGTATTAAAGAGAGAAAACGAAGAAATGGAATCGTAAAAATCTATGTTAATGGACCTTTTCAGCGATTTTCAGTGAATTCTACTACTTATTTGCCCCCTAAGCATCCCATATATAATAGCTATGTTAAACAAAAGAATTCAAAATGGCCGCCGTATCGACGAAAAGATCCATTATGATCAGATATTTTTTGAAAAGCATCACGTTCATGATTTCCTAAGTTTAAACAATTGAATTGAACAATTGAACAAGATGAATTATTAATAAGTTGAACAAGATGAATTATTAATGAGTTTGAGAAACAACCTGTAAATTATCGTGATACTTTGGCATCCGACGTTAGCCCAGCCTCTCGATGTGCTAGCCTGCAGCCGTTGAGTCATATGTTTCTAATTTCCTATCTTTCTCAAGCAAAATGAAACTCCTGCTGAAGTAGCCCAGAGGAAGCAACATGGAAACGTCTTGAATTACCTCACCTCGTTTCAACAAGCACAGGTATGTTCTTGCAAACACTTATGTGACGTCAGACCAGACTAGCTAATAAACCATTTTACAGTTGTTTGCTCGGTGACCTGGCCTTTGTATGGGCAGCGAGGCTGGGGGTGACCTTGCTTTGATACAGCCCCTCTGCTTTTGCTATGTAAATGCACCTAGTAAGCATTAGAACAACTTGATTTACACAACAAATTTAAAGCAGTGAGGTTTGTATCAAAACAAGGTCACCTCCAGCCTCCCTGCCATTCAAAGGCCAGGTCACTAAGCAGACAACTGTAGAATGATCTATTCACTGTCAAGCTTTGGAAGTACATGTATATTTGATCTTGAACAAATTCCCAAGGCAGCCAAGATTAGAAAAATGCCCCATTCGAGAATGAAGCTTGGGTTAAATTTTAGGCAGCTAACGCAACCATGCCTAATGCCTTGAGACTGGAAGAATGCAACTTACATAAAATTAAGGTGATTTTATCGAAAAAGAAAAAAGTAACCACAATTTCTAACACCTGGTCCTGTTGTAATTTCAATTCCTGTTACACCGTTACCCGCTACGCGTTTCTGACTAAGAACGCAAAAAGGGAATTCTATCCGAAAGTTCAAGTCAAACTATATGAAAATACTGCTGTGTCTGTTATTAATTTGTGTTTTTCCTCATTCCAAGGAGAGAAAGAAGAACATTCACGTGTGAACCGGCCAGCGGTACTTCTCTGAGCCATCCACATCTTCATGTCTATATAGTGTGCTTGATTAAAGGGAATGTAACCTTACGTAACCTCCATACAAGAATTGCATTTCTGGGATAAAAAAGGAAAACTACTTTTAAAGCGTGTTTGAGCAAGACTTATTATAAGGGTGTGGTGTGTTATTTGATGTGGTGTGTTATTTTAATATAGACCTCCGGGGCAAGTACTCCCATATGAAAAGGTCGGGGATTATCTTTGTCTCGCCCAGGGGTGTAAATAAGGGATTTTAGACTCATTTATGCCTGGGCTTAGGTTATTCAGGTTTTCCACTAATTTAGCTGTCAAAGCATCTTTTAGGGTACACTTGAAGAGTTAACAATTTAAAAAAACGCTCTCATTTCCGTTGTTAGGTTCGATTTCCGCCGCTCTCTCGAGTCTGGTCTACTAGCCCGGGCTCTCTTCCCGAACGGTGGCTAATAACCAAGCCTGTTCCGTTTTAAGTGCATGGTATCTTTTAGTGGTCAAAAAAGCCACTAGCCATATTCAGACTGATCACCTTTAGGGATTTAATTCCAATTTTCCGACAAGCATCCCTGACCTTCTCATATTGGAGTCATCCTCCGAGTTATAGAAGAAATTTTATGGCCCGCTGTTGTTCAAAGGGCACTGGTATATGACAAACTTTAGGTGATAACGCTTTCGCTTTAAAGCGTTAGCTGTAAAACTTTGAGAAACTTTTCCTTTATAATTCGACTATAATCTCATAAATTTGATTTAATCCTGAAACAGTTTTTGTCGTATTAGAATTTAAGTGGACCACCCTTTTTGTATAAAATCGCAGTTGTTAAAAGAATTGGCTGATACGGAATCTGTTCTCTTTTTTTTTGTCCTAATGTATATACCAAGTTTTAGCGGAAAAATCTGTAAGGCACAATTAAGTGCGGAAAACGGAAAATATAAGGCCTATTACGTGTTCCCTAAAATTTTTCTCTGCCTGTTTTAATTTTCTTGACAAAATCGAGTAAGATTCCTCGCGCTTGGCACCAGAACTCTTCCTTACCAGCGATTTCCCGCGTAGAACGCTTCCGTACCATCGACTTCCTGCGCAGATCGCTTCCTTACCAGCGTTTCCCCGCGCAGAACACGCTTGCCTAATAGTGATTTCCCGCGGAAATGCGTGCTTACCAGTGATTTTGCCCCAGAACGCTACCTTACTAGCGATTTCCCCGAAAATGCATGCTTACCAGTGATTTCCCTCTCAAAACTCTTCCTTATCAGCGATTTCACGCGCAAAAAGCTTCCTTACTTGCAATTTCCCGCCCAGGACGCTTCCTCACCAGCAACTTGAATTTCCTGCGCAGAATGCTTGCCTACTAGCCATTTTCCGCGCAGAACGCGTGCTTGCCAGCGATTTACCGCGCAGAACGCTTCCTTACCACCGATTTTTGTAAAGAACGCTTCCTTACAAGCAATTTCCCGCGCTTGGCGCCAGAGCGCTTCCTTAACGAGCGATTTCCCGCGCGGAACGCTTCCTTGATTGCGATTTCCCACACGTAAACACTTTCTAACTAGCGATTTCCCGCGCTCGGGGCCAAAACGCTTCCTTAACTAGCGATTTCCCACGTAGAACGTCATCTTACCAGCGATTACCCGCGCTTGGCGCCAATGAGGTGTACTTGTTTCGAGTTATATTGCTGAAATTAATTCATTTGCAACCGCGCGCCCTATATAAATATATCTATATAGATTAGAAAGGCCCTCTGTTAATGTATTAATGTGCATCATTGGTGATCTGTGATAAAATACTAATGAAAGAAAGGTCTTGTAAGCCATCTTAAATCAAGGAAAAGCAGTTTTCTTAAATCAAAAGTAAAGCAGTATGTGTAGCAAACTTCACACTTTAATTTCGTTACAAAATCTAGCTTATTGCATTCTTGCTGCCTAGAAACACCACTCAAACCAAGATATCTAGCTTATATCTGGCTTATTAAATTTTTGCTCCCTAGAAACGCTAACCAAACCAGGTATTCAAGGCAACATTATTTAAAAAGCAAAATCTCACACAAATAAGAAAGATCCATTCATCTTTGTGCAAAAGGCACTTTTGGACTTGAAACTCAGTTCACGGTCGCTACGACCGGTAACAATATGCGAATCTTACGAACAAAGTTGCTGCATATGACAAACAACAGGATAATAAGAATTAGACTTTCTCTCAAGTTGCACTAGGCGAGTTGACTCATACAGAGGTTGGTTTCCATATGATCACTATACCAGCGCTGCAGAGATTAAGTTTACTCTTTCAGCCATTATGTTGATAAACATTATCTTCATAATACAAAAGTATTTAAGAAATAGAACCCATGTACCGTGTTTCTCTATATCGAGTTTTAGTATATTTCTAATAGCGTTCATTCACGAAATTCCGTTCTCTGATTGATTTCTCTACTCACTATCTAATACGAGCCAATAGGCAAGTGTTTCCACAGCTTTTTCGTAAACATGTTTTCTTTTTATGAAAAATACCCGTTTACTTTGATCATCAAAATGTAAATTCTCTTTGTTCGCGCCATGATTACGTCAACAGTTCGTGCAGGTTCTGTGTTTCTATCGAGTTATAAAAGCACGATTTTAAACCAATCAGCGCGCTTATTTCCTTTGAGTTACTTTCTAAAAGCAATTATCAAACAGGTTAACGGGCTAACACGTGACTTAGTTAACGTGTCCAACACTTGCACATTCTGTAATGATTCGATTCACCACCAATTGCGGCGCTTTACTTTGAGTTATTTTGAGTTATTTTGGCCACGCACAAAATTACTTTACATTGAAGGAAAACTGAAAATAGTAGTTTACTAAGATAGAAAAACACCAACGAAATAATAATAAACAACAGAGAGACTAGGATGGTGAAAGATGGAGAAGATTAACACGGATTACAAATGAACAAACTTGAAGAACTTAGGCTTAGTTTTACAAGGTGCGCAAACTGTGACGTAGCTCCTTCAAGGGAGGACGCTTATTAGAGAGGGGTGCTTCTTAGGGACAGGGGCGGCATACCCCTTTTTGAAAATACGCATCTGAATGTGGTACAATATTTAAATGAAAAACAAAAGATACTCAAGATCAAGCTCTGATAGCTCCGATAGTCACAGTGTTTAGATGAGATAGCAGAATTCATAATTCTTATTCGTCTAATCAGTATGTTCTATGTCAATGTCTTAAATGCTACTTTCGCTACGGGGGCGCTTACTGAAATAGGCATCATGATCAACGGGGAAATTTCATTAGAAAGGGGGGAAAGCACTAAATCGAAACATTACGGGAGGCGACTGAAAACTCTAGGATTGAAGTAAAACACACCTACATAAGCCTCAAAACGTTATAAAATAGTTCTTTTGTGCTAGCTATTCCTTCAGAACTAAGCTAAGTTCATTTATCCATGCATTAGTAGGCTTTATAGACCGTTCTAAACCATTCAGGAATATTTATTTCACTGTAAATATTGGGCTTCTCAGTTAACCGACTAAACGACTACAACGAAAAATTGTTTTTCGGTGTTTAGTTAGGCCCTTCGTAAAGTTGCTGTACTCTTGATTTAAATTCCCTTGTCTCGATGGTTTTCTCGTGCTCAGGCCCCAGCACGTCTTCTCGAATTTCAAGCCCTTTCTCCAGTTCCTCCAATGCCAATTTCAATTCACCTTGGATCCTTAAAATTGCGCCAAGACAAACGTGGGAGCGAGCAGTATCTGAATGGATCCCAAGCAGTTTCTTTTGAATCTCCAAAGCTGCCATGGTCTTTGTCTTACCCTTCTCCGCGTTATCTCCCGACTCTCTTTTCGCGAGGATCTTGTACGAAGTAGCAATGAAGTACAAGATTGAAGCAGTCCAGGGGTGCTCGCCAAGCTCCCTTTCGTAAACTGGCAAAATGTCTTTTTCCCAGATTCTAATCGCATTTTGATGGTCGGCGCAATACCGATAGGTACCTGGAGAAAAAAAAAGAGCGAGAGAGAGAGAAAGAAAAGGAAGACGATTGAGCCTGCTTTCCTTTTTCAAAATGAAACTCGCCGTAAACTTTCCTTATACTGTCTAAACTGTTTCTTAGTCGAGTAACATAAGCCCATTTTCAACTCGTGAATTGCGCGCATGTAAAAGACTGAGCGAGTTNACAACTTGAAAGTTGTCGGAGCCCAAGAGAATTCAAGCTGTCTGCCAGCCTCCCCTTGTCATCGCAATCCCTGGCTATTTCGCAGCACTTCTCATACAGTCGAGTACATTCTCTGGGTGGTGAGAAAACTTTAGCCAAGAAGTCCAGGACTTCAGTACTGTTAGCGACATCGATGGCAGACAATTTCTCTTCTTTAAGCGTCGTGTCTTCAAAACAGTTCTTAAACGCTTCAGTGATGTTTGCTTTCTCTTTTCTGAATGTGGAGATGGCTTCGCAAGCTTTATCTTTGGTGATGAATTGTTTGCTTAGGATTTTGATCCGTTCCAGGTAATGATCATTGAACTTCTTCTTGGCTTTGTCGCCTTCGTCGCCCACCCCTAGGGAGCCACCCTCTTTCCTGCAGAAGGCTTGGACTAAAGGATGTACGCTGTACTTTCCTTCTTCGGTTGTCTGAAGAAGTGAGCCTTTCACCATCTTAGTCTTCACTGTCTCTACCTCGGCTCTGGTGTTCATATCATCGGCAGAGAAAGTCGATGGGAAAACTGAGACACGGACAAGATTCCTTTTTATGTCTCTGGGAAACTCGCCGAGGAATTTCCCCTATAAATTATAGACGTCTTCTGAATTGTTCTTGAGGATGTCCATAGGGTCATTTCTAAGTTGTTCCACCAAAACTTTGGGGTTAAAATCGTTGTTCTGTAAGTACACACAGTTAATAAGAATCAGTGACACCCCACCACAAAGCTTGCATACTTCCTCCAAATATTCTTTGCAGACTACANTCTTAAACGCTTCAGTGATGTTTGCTTTCTCTTTTCTGAATGTGGAGATGGCTTCGCAAGCTTTATGTTTAGTGATGAATAGTTTACTTAGGATTTTGATCCGTTCCAGGTAATGATCATTAAACTTCTTCTTGGTATCGTCACCTTCGCTGCCCACGGCTAGGGAACCACTCTCTTTCCTGCAGAAGGCTTGAACTAAAGGATGTGCGCTGTACTTTCCTTCTTCGGTTGTCTGAAGAAGTGAGTCTTTCACCATCTTAGTCTTCACTGTCTCTACCTCGGCTCTGGTCTCAAAGAGAATCAGCATATCCTCGGCAGAGAAAGTCGATGGGAAAACTGAGAGACGGACAAGATTCCTTTTTATGTCTCTGGGAAACTCGCGGAGGAATTTTCCCAATAAATTATAGACGTCTTCTGAATTGTTCTTGAGGATGTCAATAGGGTTATTTCTAAGTTGTTCCACCAAAACTTTGAGGTTGAAATCGTTCTTCAGTAGGTACATATTGTTAATAAGAATCAGTGGCATCCCACCACAAACCTTGCATACTTCCTCCAAATATTCTTTGCAGACTACAAAAACATCTTTGAGTAATTTAGCAGATGAGGTGGTGTCCATTGGCTCAAGATGAACCCTGTGTATGTC